AAGCAGAAAGGGTCAAAATCAAAACATTAACCCTACAACTCAACTAGAAAGTACAGCAAAAGAAGCCCATAGTCAGTAGAAGAAAGGAAATAATAAAGACTAGATCAGAATGAAATAGAGAACAGAAAAACAACAGAGAGAATCAACACAACCAGAAGTTGGTTCTTTGAAATGATCAGTAAAATTGACAAACCACTGGCCAAATTGATAAAAGAAAAGCAGGGGAAGAAGCAAATAACACAAAGAAGAAACAAGATGGGTGACATTACAACAGAACCAACTGAAATAAAAAGGATCATAATACTATTAAAAAAAGAAAGAAAGAATGAAAGTGCTCCAAAAGGTTTGAAAACCTAGAGGAAATGGACAAATTTCTAGAAACTTCACACAAACTTGAGGTAGAAAAACTGAACAGACCCACAACAAAAGAAGAGAGTGAAGAGGTAATTAAAAAATTTCCAAGAAAAGAAAGCCCTATCCCAGATGGCTTCACTGGATTAGCATCTACCAACATTCAGAGAAGAGCTTACACCAATACTACTCAAACAAATTCAGAGCATAGAGAAGAAAGGGATACTTTTGAATTTATTCTATAAATTCAGCATAACCCTGATACCAAAGCCAGGCAAAGACACCACAAGAAAAGAAAATACAGACTAATATCCTTTATGAATATAGACACAAAAATTCTCAACAAAATTCTAGCCAACAGAATTCAACAGCATATAAAAATATTGAGATAGACAGACAGACAGACAGATAGATAGGTAGGTAGGTAGATAGACAGACAGATAATCATAGCCAAGTAGGATTCGTACCAGGTATGCAAGGATGGTTCAACCTTAGAAGAACAATCAATGTAATCTACCACATAAATAAAACAAAAGAAAAGCATTACAAGATCATCTCAGTTGATGCAGAAAAGGCATTTGGTAAATTCTAACACCCATCTCTGATTTAAAAAAAAAAAAAAAAAAAACTCTCAGCTAAATAGGACCAAAAGGGAAATTCCTCAACATAGTAAAAGCCATTTATACAAAACCAACAGACAACATTATTCTCAATGGAAAGAGACTGGAAACATTCCCTCGATAATGGGAACTGGACAAGCATGTCCTTCATCACCACTCTTATTCAACATGGCACTGGAAGTCCTAGCTAGAGCAGTAAGTCAATAAAAGGAAATAAAGGGCATTCAAATTGGTAAGAAAGAAGTAAAACTATCCCTATTTACAGATGATATGATACTATACATAGAAATTCCAAAAGAATCTACAAGAAAGCTACTGAAACTAATAAAAGGATTAAGCAAAATAGTAGGATATAAGATGAACATATAAAAACCAGCTATATTCTTCTATAACAACAAAGAGAACTTTGAAAAGGAAATCAGGAAAACAATACCAATTGTAATAGCCCCCTAAAAGATAAAACACTTAGGAACAAATCTAACCAGGGATGTAAAAGACCTATACAAGGAAAACTACAAACTATAACCGTAAGAAACCAAAAGAGACCTGCATAAGTGGAAAAACATACTATGCTCATGGATAGAAAGATTTAACATTGTCAAAATGTCAATACTACCAAAGTGATCTATAGACACAATGCAATCCTAATCGAAATTACAATAGCATTCTTCAACAAGATGGAAAAACTAAATATCAACTGTACATGGAGAAGAAAGAGGCCCCAGATAAGTAAGGCATTATTGAAGATAAACACAAAATAGGAAACCTCACACTACCTGATCTCAGAACCTACTATATATAGCTATGGTAGTCAAAACAGGCTAGTATTGGTACAACAGCCACATACAGCAATGGAACAGAATTGAGAACCTAGATGTAAATCCATCCACCTATGGACAGCTGATTATCAACAAAGACCCAAAGTCTATTAAATGGCGAATAGACAGTTTCTTTAACAAATGGTGCTAGCAAAACTAGAAGTCTATCTGTAGAAAAATGAAATAGGAGCCATATCTCTCACAATACACAAAAACTAACTCAAAATGGATCAAAGACCATTTTAAATATAAAACCTAAAACTATAGGAAGATCATGTGTATAAACTGTTAAATGGGAAACTAATATGCTTTATAAACTTTCACCCAAACCACAATAAAATGTTTCAGGGGAAAAAAGAGAGAGAGAGAGAGAGAGAGAGACATTAGGTAAAAACCAAGGAAGTGAACCAGAAACTATGGCCCCTAGCTGCCCTTCAGGTCTGGAATTGAACCAACACCCGTGGTGGTTTCCAGCCAAACAAAAGACACGCATATGAGCTGAACATTTACCTCAGGCAGATACACTCCTTGGAGAGAACAATCATGGGAGAAAGAAGGGCTGCTTATGCACAGGGAGACAGCTCAGGGGGCAAGAGTGTATGGTGGGATGGACACTGGGAAGAGGTGGCTATGGGGAGGAGGTAGGAGAGGAGCTGTTCCATTGTGGTAAACTGTGGTCAATGACATGAGACAAAGTATATGTGAACTGCTGTATGGAAAGTGAATTTGCTCTGTAAATCTTCACCCAAATCACAATTAAAAAAAAGAAAACAAGGAAGTAATGTAAGATGTTAGTGGAAACCAGGTATATGGGGACTCTCTGTGCTGTCCGGTATTTCTGTAAATCTAAAACTGTTTTGAAAAATAAAGTTTTTAATAAAAAACAGTATCATTGACACCTTAAATGTCTGAGGTTCATAATGTCAGCTATCAAATATTGAGTTCTACAGTGCACCAGGCACTGTCCATATCACATTTATTCCTCAGAACAACCTGATGTGAAGGAGGAAGTAGTCTCCCTATTTAGCAAATGAGGAAATTGAGGCTCAGAGATTTCCAGTGACATATCCTTGGTCCCACAACAAGTAATTGACAGAGCCAAGGGTTGAACCCAGGCTCTTAGTGCGAATGGGTGCATTTAATGAGAAGGGGAATAACTGGAGTTGAGGTTTGAGAGGAAGATGAGGATTGTAGACCTGGCCATTATGAGTTCTATGTCCTGTTGAGACAGGGGCACGTGTAAGGAATGAAAGCTGCTTTAGCTACATTTTTTTGTGACGACTACATTTTTTTCTGGTAAATTACTTAAACTTCCCCTGCTAATAGGAACTGGAAAATTGCTATATATACTTCAGTTGCAAATTAGGTTGTTTAAAAACCTTTGCTAGTAACAATTACAAAATAAGAAACCATGACTAATGAAACTTCTATTAGAAAGGATGAAGTTGCCAGGTTGTTTATTGCAGATTCTCAAGCATGGGATCAGCACGTGAGACCCCATGACAACTTCTATCTTGATCTGCAGACAAACAGGTGTCTGGATGGATCCAGAAGACAGGAACACAATGAAACAAGAATCCAATTAAGGAATATATGAAACCTGTGCACCTGATTCACCAACTGTATAGCTTCCGCATTCTGTCCCTATTAATTGCTGTAAGCCAAGTCCAGCTAGCGAGCTATACACTTAGTTTGCTGTCGCACTGTACAGTCTCGTGCAGTATTTCATTAAAGGCTCTGTCTCTGTAAGCAATTCTTTACTGCCAGCAGACAAGAGCCCACCTGTGGGGCCTCGCTGGGTCCCCTCCGGTAACACTGTAAGACATCCGAGTGGAGAGTTGGGTAGGCCGTTGGGATGTACACTGAGAGGAGATGTCAGTGTAGAGATGTGCATGGGGGAGATGGTTTACAAAGGATGTTTGCACCTATGCACCAGCTCCCCCTCTCCTACAGAGAAAACAGCCCAGGCCGGCCCCAAGAAGCCCTCCCTCATGTCTGTTCAAATGTTGCCACCTAAACATTTTTTCTATTTAGCAGCATTCCGCTAAGAGATTCAGAAGCTGCTCCCAGTGCCTCCCAACATCTACCCACTCGCACTCACCCCTCTGCAGGCCCTTAGGCCAAGGCTCTGATTGGGAAGGCAGGGGAAGGAGAAGCCGGAACCTGAGTAGCCTGCGATCTAGTCACAAGCTTCCCACACACTCAGCACTGTGTGCGGTGCCTCCCAATCATTCACAAGTTTCCTCCAAGTCCTGCGCTCCTTTCCGTACATTTTTTTTTTCTACTTGCTCGCTTTGCCTTTTATGGCATCCTTTGCTCCTTGAAGCTTTTCCAGTTTATTTTGACCTGACTTCACCGTGCAGGAATGTTGGGAATAGGGTGTAAATGGGGACCATCTTGTCCACGAGGATAAGGCATCGTTTCAGAAGCGTTTTAAAAAATCCCAGGGCCAGAAGAGGGAAAAATGGGGATAGGAAGTACACATGAGTTTTCAGAGGTGCCTCTCGGTGGGAAGATCCTCTCCGTAGTGATGGACCACAAGGCCGCGGGATGCTGCCGCGCCCACCTCGCCCGGCGTCACCGCGGTTTCCGGAAATTCCGCGCTCCTGAGTACTCGGTTTCCCCGAATGGTTCCGGAAGAACGCGGGTGAGTGGGCCGCTAGCATACGACCTGCCTGGAGATAGCTCCAGCTGCCGAGGCGGGACCAGGAGGCCGAGGAGGGAGGGAAGCGCCTAGTTCCCGAGCTGGTTCTCGCGCCCGCCGATGCCGGAGAGACACCGAGCCCAGGAGTGGTGCACGCGGCGCAGCCGCCCAGCCTGCCCCCGGGGATCTGCGTTGGCCGAGCGGGCGGGGGCGGGACCGCAGCGCCCCGCGAGCTACGGGCTGCGCCCCACCCGCAGCGGGGGCAGAGAGCGCTAGAGCACGTGCGTGGGAGCTGCTTGGGGGCCTCACCCAGTGGTGCCGCGGAGCGGAGGCTGCTGCAGCTCGGGCGGAAGCCCCTGGCAGCGAGAGCTCACTGAGACACAATGGTGGGCCAGACGCAGGAGCAGCTGGGGAGCGGGCAAAGGGAAAGCGAAAGCCGCGGGCCCAGCCGGTGACGAGTGAAGGCGTAGCGCAGCCCTCTGGACTTCGGCACCGCACGAGCCTTCTCTCGTGGGTCTGGACTTCGGCACCACAAGAGTCTCTCTCGTGGGTCTGCCGCCTGAGCCTGGCGCGCCGCAGCCATGGCCATCGCCCACCTGGCCACAGAGTACGTGTTCTCGGACTTCTTGCTGAAGGAGCCCACGGAACCCAAGTTCAAGGGTCTGCGGCTGGAGCTGGCAGTGGACAAGATGGTCACTTGTATTGCCGTGGGACTGCCGCTGCTGCTCATTTCGCTGGCCTTCGCTCAGGAGATCTCGATCGGTAAGGCCCGGGGCCAGAGGGGTGGGATGGACTGGGCGGGTGTTCTCAGGGCCGCCCAGGTCGGCTGAGAAGTGATTTTATTGCACGCTAGGCAGAATCGCTGCACACCCTTGGCACTGCTCACAGCTGTGATGGGCGTGCACCTTGCAAAGAAAGGTGGCCAGTTTTATGGTCCAAAGCGTTCTTTGCCCACGTGCTTTATTTGTATCCTTGTGGCCCCTGGTTCAAGGAGCTCTGGTGGCGTAGTGCCTAAGGCATCTGACTGCTGACCAGAAGGTTGGTGGTTCAAACCCACCAGCCACTCCGCCGAAGCGAGACTGGGCAGTCTACTTCTGTAAAGATTTACTGGCTCGGAAACCCAATGGGGGTCTGTCTCTATGCGTCAGAATCTACTCCAGGGCACTGGGTTTGTTTTTTTTTTTTTTTTTTTGGATTTTGGTCCCCGTTTCAGGGCAGCAGGGGATCCTCCCCTGCTAGCATCCTCGCTTCTCAGTACCCTTCTCCCTGCTGTCTAGTCTGACTTACCTTTGCCACCAGAACTGCCGAGAACAACTTTCTCCACTCTTTTTTTCCTTCACACATGTTTGCACAATCATATAAAATTTACTACCAGAGAAATTCCTGAATGGCTCAATAGATGATGTGAAGAAAACTGCCCAAGAGAAGTTTGTTCTCCTTTCACTATCATATGTAATTGATAGTGAGACTTATTTTTCAATGATACCAGTTTGTGGCAGATATTAGAGGGTTACTGAAATACTTCACCTAGGCAGCCTTATTATCGACCTGAGGTAAACAGGTCATTGTCTTATAAATTTTCATTTGACTGGAGTAACATTTCTGGGAGATTTGAAAGACTGGTGGTTTGGAGAACAATCACATGGCTAATAAGTGGGTGGCCTTCCTCATCAGCTGTTGAGACAGAGTGCCTGAATCAAAAGAAGACTGTAGGAGGGCTAGAAGCAGTTTTATAGAGGGAATGAGGGAAAGGCCAGTGGGACTACATGGGGAAAGCTTTGTGTCAGAGGTTGGGCTGGCCTGAGCCTTGCATGAGATTTGAGTAAGGAGGGCTAGACCATTTGCCAGGATTTTGAGATGGCAGAGAAAGTTACATGTTCCTGGGAGGGGCAGACAGTGGTAATTGCAGAGGCAGCATGATTAGGCAGGGTTCCTAGGATCTGGGCTGGATGTGGGCTGGGATCAGATTAGGACAGAGGAACACAGATTTGATGGTTTAAGAAGAAGGAAGTTATTATTTGAGCAGAGGGTAGACTAGTTGAAAAACAGCATTTAATAAGAAATAACCTGGTGGTGGCATGTAGATTGGGAAAGGAGGGGAGAGAATGAAGCTAGTGAGGATGGATACCATGAGAGGGAGCATTAGGCAAGGTCTGGTGCATGGGGGTGGTGTGGGGTGAAGAGTAGAAGGGAAAAAATGGGAAGCAGTGATACTGAGAGGTCAAGGAGCAAAAAATAGCATTTGGATAACAAGTTTTTTAATGGAGAACGAAGGACAAAGACTGGTCCGTCATGCTGCAGAGCTTGTGAGGGGAGTATGGTGGTAGTGATGGAAATAGTAAAACTGAAGGGAGAGTTGGTTAGAAAGGGTGACGAGCTTGATTTTGATCTACAGCACTAAACTGTTTGACTTGGCAGAGAGTTGCCAAATTCATTATGGAAAAGAAGTTTTCCATTTAAGTTGTCTTTGAGTGACCATAGTCATCAGGGTTTCCTTGGATCACCAAGGGTGGAGGCATCCAGTAGAAAGGAAAACCACTAAGTAGCATGGGTCCTGAAGATAATGTCTCCCTTCAGCAAATGCCCTTGAGTACTAGCTGTGTGCTGGCCCTAGTGCCAGGGCTGAGGACCAGGGATAAATGAGGCATGATTCCAGATGTCCTGGAGGAACAGAGTGTTAGGTACCTGATGGGGACCGAGAATCGGGAGAGGAGTTGGTCATTCTCTGACTAGCTCCATTTCTGGCCGATGAACTAGAGGGAACCAAGGTACCTATACCAGTAATGCCTTGGTGGTGGTGTTAGTTGCCATCTAGTCGATTCCTTAGACACTGCCGAAGTGTTGGATGGGCTGAGAGACATTTATTTGGGTTTGGAGTAGGTTCACCCAGCAAGGGTCTGAGCTTATGCTGTGTATATAGCAGCTATCGCACCTGAGAAGGATTGTAAGGAGTGTGAGATGTGGTTCTCTCTCCGCCCTGTGGGAGTTCACTGTCCAGCCTGACTGAGCGTGGACATAGCTAACAGGGTAACGTTCTTTGGCAGTGTATGGTCACTGACAAGGTGGGCAGTGAACTAGGAGTAGCAGTCTGGTGAGAATTGGCAGGGATTTGGATAAAGAGCTAACAAGTAGATTTGTGTGTCTTCTAAGGTACTTCAGGAGTTCCATAGGGACACAGAAATAGGCACATGGGAGGAAACAACCAAGAGCATATAAGACCGATGAAGTTGAATGCAGGTATACCTTGGAGATACTGCAGTTCTGTTCCAGACCACCACAATAAAGTGAATATTGCAATAAAACAAGTCCTACAATTTTTTTTGTTTCCCAGTGCATGTGAAAGTTATGTTTCCGTTATACTCTAGTTTATTAAGTATGCAATAGCATTATGAAAGAGTTAGAAATAATAGTGAGAATTTGAAAAACTGTGACATAGACATATGAAGTGAGCACATGCTGTTGGGAAAATGTTACTGATGAGATGCAGGGTTGCCACAAACCTTCAATTTGTAAAATATGCAATGCATGTGAAGTGCAGTAAAGCAAAGTGCAATAAACAAGGTATGCCTGTACACATGTAGATAAAGAAGGAAGACTTTGGAGAGGAGGGCAGGGAACATAAATTAACAAGTGGAGTAAATGGAGTTGGTTATGTCATGCAGCATTTAATTTTGTATAAATTCAGTATATGTATTCAGCCAAAAATCAAAGGAAAAGTAGTTTTCTTCAGTGCAGGACAGCTTCCAACCAGGACAGCTGTCTCAGCTGCTCTGCCATGCAAGCAGATCCTTTCTGCTGTGCAGGCCCCTCTTGGCCATGCGGGGCCTCTCTGCCTTCAGCCTTCCTGCCTTTGGCCTCTCCCTGCTAACTGGCTCAGCTCACAGCCAGTGTAGCAGTTTGCTCAGCTGCTGCTCTCCTAACAACAGCTTTCCTCTGTTGCTGCTGCCAGTGCCACCAGATCCCTTCTGGGCCTCTCACAGTCTTCAGTGTTAGAACCTTTGATCTATATTACAGCTCTTTTAGGAGATTGATCTTCCAGGAATCCCAGGTCCAAACTGCTCCACTCCAGGCTCTTGGTCTTGAGGTTATCTTCTGGCCTCTTCTAAAAGCTTCTGTGCGGTTGACCATTTATGTCAATTTCAAGGCATGGCTCTCCCAACAGGACCACCATGAACGAGTCCCCTCAGTGGACCACAGGTCACTTAGTCCTATGGGGTGATTTTACACACCGATCTTTCTGACTAGCAAACCAATCAATCCAGTTAAGGTGAGTAAAGTGGACCAATCGTAGGGTAGGCAGACTGTGTGTGGCCCAGGGCCAGACAGAAGTATCAGTCTATCAAGTTGTTTACAGTTTACCAGAGAAATGTCAATCAACCTAGGAAATCTGGACAAAAGTACTGAACCCTCTAGGGTAGAAAACAACCTGGCAACCTACCCTGCCCCCAGGCTGCTTCTCCAAAGAACTAGGTAACTTCTCAGAATTTAGGGGGAAAAAATTTCCCAAGCTATTTTCCCAAGGAACTAAGGCGAAAGTCCACATAAATGAACTCATTTCACCACACACACTTTATACATTGAATTAAAACCTATTCATGTGACTGCCTCACCTACAAGGTACTTAGTATGCTGTTTATCCCTAGAAACTGGCATCTTGCATGGGACATTCTATAAATATTAGTTGAATAACTGAAAGGCAATAGCTTCGGCAGAAGGAATGCTTTATTTGGTTTATGTATTCACAAAACGTTTATTGGGAGTGAAGTGTCTGACATACACAAGACATAGAGCCTGCCTCTTAGAAGCACATTAACATAGAAGACACATAACCCAACCCTAATACAAGAGTCATGGAATCTAGGTTGTGTCAAAGGTGTGCACCAAAGCTTGGTACTGTGGGAAGGTAGATTGAGGGATTGATTCCGACTCAGGAATAGTGAGGGCTTCAGGACACTGAAGAGTCTGAGTTGAGTTGAGGGAGGATTCCAAATGTTTGGAGCAGTGTGAGCCAAGCGGAGAAGCATGAGCCGGTGCAACTGTGATCTTTAGGCGTGCAGTTGCCTAGAGAGACAGGAGTTGAAATGAGTCTACAGGGGCATGAGATAGAAAGGGGCATAGTACATCCCATGTTTGGGTGGAGTGTGTTTAAAAAATTAGAAATTAGAAAATCACCTTTAATTAATACACATGCCAGTTTTCTTATTTTCCTTTTGCATTGATAAACTCATGTATGCATGCAAATTCATTTAATTAAAATATCAAATTCTCTTAACCATAAAATTCATTTTCAGTTACTTTATAAAAGCTAAATTTTCTATTAAATGCTATTTTGTAAAATAGGGTTCAGGTTCTAATTGTGACAGCTTCTAACTGTGACAGCTTCTAACTGTGACAGCTTCTAACTGTGACACTTTCTGAAGCTAATTTGCCTTAATTAAACCTTCCAATGAATAAAAAATTTGCATAGACTGTTTTAAAATTAAGGGAGGCAGTGTTGAAGGTTAGAGGGAGAGAATGTCCTAATATGATAAAACATGTTTGGCTTCATGCTAAAGGTTTCTCCTTATTCTTTGGCCCATTTTCTCACTTTGCCTTAGCCCATTGGCCTGTTTCAGAAAAGAGCAACAGATCTTGCCCAGGCCATTGAGACCCATGGGCAGGGCAGCCAGGTAACTTTGATTTAGCTCTGCTGTGGGCCAGCATAGTGGCTGGTACTTTACTGACACAAGCATACCTCCCAGACATCACATGTTCTCTTTCAG